TCTCTACCAATAGTTGGTATACTCGTATATAAAAATGACATATGACGTATCATTCTTTCTTTTTTTTTTTTTTTTTTTTTTTGTCTTTTTGTCTTTTTCCGTGTCCGGCAATGGATCGCAACCCTCAGTGTTGCCCCCGTACCGGACCGGGGACCGGCAACGGGATTGCAACCCTCGGCATTGCCCCCGCACCTCGCTCAGCCAGTGAGCGGGAACCGGTCTGTATATGGGATCCGAACCCTCGGGCGGGAGCGCCGCCGCGCTTCCCAAGCGGCGCACTTATCCAGTGCGCCACCGGGCTGGCCCCCATTCTTTCTTTTTTTAATATAACAAGGATATGCACACTTATTTGTTCAGATAACAAATATGTAAACTGAATAACAGATGAATAACAATAATCTGTAGAAAGTAGGGCTTCTAATTTTCACAAAAGCTGAAGATGTAAAACTTATTGAAATTTACATATTTCATTTTATAATCTCTACAGTTATTTGAAACAGCTCTCTAAAGTCTTCCAACACATGCAAATATCAAATTAATTTCAACAGAGGAAGATGAATAAACTTTTCAAAGGCAAATTAATTTCTAAGTAAGTCAACAAGTCCACTTAATAAAAAGAAATCAAGAACAGAAATTAAATACCTAAGTTTAGCAACCTAAATTGCATAAGAAATCAATAAAACAGAATATAAACAAAAGGCACTTCAAAAAGTTCATGTAAAAATAGAATTGAAAGATAATGAAAATCTTTCCATTAACTTTTTTTGTTTGTTTGAATTTTCCCTTTTTTTTGTAAGGACTAAGATCATAGAAAATATGTTCTCTGACCACAATAACTGAAGGAAATTAGAAAACTCACAAACGTGGAAATTAAACAACACTCTCCTGAATAAACAATGGGTAAAAAGAAAAATCACAGGGAAATTAGAGAGTTCCTTTGAGATAAAGATCAGATCCAGGAGACTCAAAGATCCCCAAACAGATTCAACCCAAAAAGATCCTCTCCAAGTCACATTACAGTCAAACTGGCAAAGCTCAAAGACAGAGAATCTTAAAAGAAGCAAGAGAAAAGTGTCAAGTCACCTATAAGGGAGCCCCTATCAGACTAACAGCAGACTTCTTAGCAGAAACTTCACAGGCCAGAAGAGACTGGAATGATATATTCAAAATACTAAAAGAAAAAAGCTGCCAGCCAAGAATACTATATCCAGCAAGTCTATCTTTCAGAAATGAGAGAAAAATAGTGTATTTTCCATACAAACAAAAGCTGCGGGAGTTCACCACCACAGAACCAGACCTACAAGAAATCCTCAAGGAAGTCCTGCATCTGGAATCTGAAAAACAATAATTGCTACCACAAACACACAAGAAAGAACAAAACCTAGTGGTAGAACAAAAATGCGAACAAGAAAGAGAAAGAAACTAAATCTTACCACTACGAAAAGCCATAGTGACCATGTAATAATGCCCTGCTTTGTTGCTGATTTTCGTAACTTCAATCTTCTCTCTTTTTTCTTGGTTAGTCTAGATAAAGGTTCGCAGATTTTGTTAATCTTTTTAAAGAATCAACTTTTGGTATTGTTGATTTTCTCTATTGTTTTTTAGTTCCCCATTTCATGTATTTCTGTTGTAATATTTGATGTTTCCTACTCATATTTGCAGTTGGTTTAGTTTGTTCTACTTTTTCTATTTTCTTAAGGTAGAAGTTTACATTACTGATTTAAGATTTTTCTTATTTTTAATATAGGTGTTTACAAGTGTAAATTTTCCTCTAAGCACTGCATGAGCCCTCTATCCTATAAGTTTTGATATGTTGTGTTTTGGTCTTTATCTGTAAATGTACCTTGACCCTAATCCATACTAGCTTATTGACCTAAACAAATTATGCATTTTGTCTAAGCCTCAATGTCTTCATTTTAAAATGAAAACAACAATATTTAACTCATTGGGTTAATTTGAGGATTATATGAGGTAACATCTATAAAGTGCATAGCAGATTGTTTTTGTATAATGCTCTATACAGTAGCTACTGTTCTTCCTGTTAGCCAGGCTTGATATCTTGAAACCATTTTTGATTTCTTCTTCTCTCCCATATTTAGGTAATGACCAAGTCTTATCAGTCATTGCTCTGTAGTCTTCATAGCAGCTTTCCCACTTACTACAGGGCACCATGCTGGATACGTTATGCATGTTGGTTCTCATCTTAACTATCACCTGCAATGTAGATATTGCATTTCAGTTGAGGAAACAGCTTCAGAGATTTAAGTGACTTGCTTAAGGTCACACGGCTTATAAGCAGCCAGGCTGAGGTTCATACTATGTCTGGCTACCTTTGAAGCCACATCTTTTTCCGCTATCCTGGGCTTTCTCATTCATTCTTTGTTTCTTGTTCCCACTGCTGTCAGTCAAGATCAGTCTCTCCCAATCGTTGCCCAGTGGCCTCTCTGCCTCTAGTCTCTCCTGATTAAAATTCATGACTACCGCATTAACCTCCTGTAAATTCCATCCTCTACCTCCTGCCTGGGAGATGTTTAACATCCCTTCATCACCTCCTGAAGGTATTTAAGACCTGGCATTTAAGACCTCCCTCTCCAGATTCACTTTTTATATTCCAGCCAAAGAACTGTTTTAATGTTCCTCCAATGTACCGTGTATGTTTTCATGATTTTTTTTTTAAATGTGTTTTCTCCATATGGAAAGTGCTGCCCAGATTAAATTCATTAGTGACATAAAAATTCTCCCAACTGGGTAGGCCTATTGTTGTTGTTGCTATTTTGACACATGCAACTATTTAGCCAGGTCTTGGTACAGATTCATCATTTAGATGATCCAGGTTGAGTATATGTCATTAGAACTATTATTGGAGATCTCTTTTTGAACTTGGCATGTCTTCTCAATGCCTTTGAGTTTAGCAGTCATTTGAATCACATGTACATCCTTTGGCATCCCTTACTTCTTTCTGAGGCATTGATATCTATTATGGAAATCTACTTTGTGGGTGTAGAGCTCAGAGATGTCCATTGTAGCATTATTTATCATAGTAAAAAGTTGAAAACAATAAATGCCAGATTTAAGAAAATGGGTGAGCCTATCTATTATGAACATTATGGTGCCAATAATAGAATCTCTGCAAGGAATTTCAAGTACAGGGTAATGGCTTTTGATATGTTAACAACAAAAAAGTCAAGACGAATAAGCAAGAGCAGCAGCAAACAACAAAAGCAGGGTATAAATTAAGACCTCAGATATGTAGTATAAAATATATAATTTTATATTAAAACCTCAGATATATATTTTAAAATATGGGGGGTGTCCTCTTGACAAAAGGTTTATTAATCCTTTAAAATTTAAAAGGTTTGTGTGTGTGTGTGTGTGTGTGTGCATGCGTGTGTGTGTGCGTGTGTGTGTGCTTTGATACAGTTTTCTGTATTTGGCAAGTGTTCTGCTATGAGAGCATAGCCTATTATCAGATAAAATAATGTAATGACCTAAATAAGGATGCAGGGGTAATTCCCTGTGTTTGGGAATCCCCAGATCACTCCTAGATTCACTGGTTTGCTAGGAGGACTCACAGGACTCAACATATAGTCATACTAATGACTATGATTTATTACAGCAAAAGGATACTTAACATAAAAGGTTTTATTACAGCAAAATTCAGAGGAAACCAAGCACAAGTTTTCAACAGTGCTGTTCCAGAGGTCTTGCACAGGGCTTGCTTAATTCCTCTAGCAGTTAAGTTGTGACAGCACATGTGAAGTATCTGCTAGGGAAGCGCATTAGAGATTCATGCCCAGGGATTGGAGGTTGGGCCTATAGGCAGCCTCTGCCTACATAGCATGTACCTAAATTCCAGACTTGCAGAAGGAAAGGAGATGTTAGCCATATTGTTTGTACAAACAGTTGAGGCACAGTGAGCCACTCTTATCAGGGAACGGTGGGAACCATCCCAAAATCCAAGTTCCCAGATACCAGCCAGGGGCCAACCTTGAGGAGGCATTTCTTTCTAAGGCTAGGAGTCTCAAGTCTGCTATGTTAACTCTTTTTACACATTTCTTGTCCCTAATGCCTCACATTTCCAGATTTCCTCAGGAGATAAGTACCAAGATTTTTACTTCTTTTTACCTTCCCTTCCATCACAAGTGCTGAACTTATTCCCCTATGACTTTTTCAAAGTCCAGTAAAAGAGGCTGATTGTTATGTTTGAAGCATGGGATTTGAGAGAAAAGTCTGCAGCAATGAGCACCTGGTTCCTCCCACCCACGCTTTTCTCAGGGCCAGAGGGGTGGTCCCTTATGTGGAGCCAGCCGGACAGGATGGCATGGAGCCAGGGGAGCATAATGAGCACACTAGTGCCAGCTTCTGGCCCCTGGCTCCTGACAGTGTGTGGTTTGCCTTTAGCTCTAACTGCTTAAAAATCAATTAGCTAGCAGTCGTTAGAACGCAAGCAGTAACACAGAACTCATTGTCCCAGGAACGTAATTCCTACACGCCCCACGGCTCTGTGTGCGGTTGGGCTTCCCTTCTGCAAACAGAGTGTGTCAACATTCCTCACCTGTGGGACACAGTCTAGACCCATGACTTCATGCTTCCTGGGGAGACTTCAAGACTTGGCTCACATGCTCGTTTTCTAGTCTCACCTTGGTGTTGGCCGATGATGTCACTTCCTCATCCGTGGTCTTTGATAGCACAGAGCAGAAGATGATTCAGTGAAGTTGCTTCCACTCCCTGCCCACATCACTTGTTGTTTGTCCCTCCTCCTGTCTCCCAGCACCTGCCTTGACACCTGTGTACCTAGCCGAGCTGCAGGTTCCCTTTAACAAGGAAGTTCATGATCTTCCCACTCCCTCCCACCGACCCTTCCCCCAGTCTGTATTCAATGAATCTGAGCCCTCTTTGGCATAAAATAAACAAAACATTTATCTTGATGGAGGCAAGCCCCTATCTTTTATTTGTGAAGAAAGCATTTCTGCTTATTCCTGCTTACCGTGTCCAGCCTTTATCTTTGATGAATGTGCGCCAACAGAATAAATAAGTTTATTATTGTATGCGGGTATTTATTTTATTTTTTATATCTGCCCCCACACTCTCTTTAGTAACTTATGTTGATGAAGATGAAAATGAAATACTTGAATTGTCATCAAATAAAACATTCATGATCATGCTGAAGATTCCAGAGGAGTGTGTTACCGAAGAGGGATTGCCTCACCTGCTCACCAGAAGGGTAATTATGTCTTATGCATCGTTTACCAACTTCTTAACATTAGAATATGGGTTCTGCAGACTGCTTGGCATAGAGCTATAGAGTAAGTAGCTTCCATCTTGAATTCTGTGTCTGTATTTCAGCAGGAAATGATACATGTAACTATATTTTCTGCAGTGCAAGGCCAGAGGGAAGAGCCCTGGTCTCCAGCTGGGTGCATCCTGGAGGACAACGTTCTGTTTACTCACTGTGATCTTGTATTTGACTCAACCTGCAGGATCCACTGAGGGTCTACAATGTGCTAGACAACATGCCAGGTGCCAGTAACACATAGTCTGTGCCCTCCATTGGCTCACAGTCCAAGTAGAGGAGGCAATTAAATAGATAGTAAAGCAGTGTGATATGTTCTGTTATTGAGATACGTACACTGTGTTTTACAGCTGCAAAGGAGGAGCATCTAAACTACCTGAGGTGGGGCTGGAGGTGTGGAGGGCTTCTTGGAGCAGGTGATACTCAGGATGAATTTTGAAGTATGAGGTAGGAATATTCTAGATAAAACAGCATGGGTCATTGGGGATCTGCAAAGTAGTGTACTGTGGCCTTTGCATGCTGTGTGGTGAGGCCCTGTAGAGGTGAGGCTGAAGAGGAAGGTAGGTGTCAGGTCGTAAAAGTTTTCCCACTTTGGTAAGGCATGGAAAGATTGTAATCAGATTGACATAGTCAAATTTTTTTAAAAAATATTTATTAATATTTTTTTACATTCTATGATGTTGTTGAACAGTTGGGAGGGAGAGGGAGGGGGAAAGGGGAAGGGAATGGGATGGAAGGAGGAGGAAGGAGGAGGGCTGGGATTGAGGCCTGTGGCAACCCCCTCATTCCCATAGAGGAAACCAGTGGGCTTCCAGTAGTGGCTTGGTTATTGCCAGGCTGGGTGCATATGTCAAGGGGGTGTGGCAATAGCCCTTGCCCCCATCGTCCCAGCTCAAGAACCCGGGGCCCTTCTTGCTGAGGCTTGCTGGTCATCACTGGGCTGGCTGAGCATGGGGGGGGTACAGGGGGGCGTAGTCAAGACTCTTGGCTCACCGGCCTCTGAGTGGCTCCTTTTTTTCAGTTGTTGTGGCTCCTCGGTCCTATGTGAGGCCACAGGAACTCTATTAGTGGTCTTGCTGGCCCAGGAGCCACGAAGACCCTCTTCTCCCCTGCCGTCTCTAAGCAACTCCATCCAAAAGGCACAGCTGCCGCTTTTTGCTGGCTCCTGCTCCATAAGCTCAGCAGCTCCGGCTTTTAAGCAGCCATGGCCTGAAACAGTGGGAGCAGTTTTTTCTTTCTCTCTTCGTGGCCTCTCCTACCTTCGTGCACTCCATAGGTCTCTCCTTCTCTTCCCCTGAGCTCTAGTGGCCCCAGTTTGGCTGTTGTTGCTTTTTAATAGTTGTAAATTGGTTGATTTGTGAGAGAGAGTGATGCTGGGGACCGTCTATTCCACCGTCTTGACTGAAAGCCCAGCATAGTCAGATTTTTAAAAAATTTTTAAAAATCAGAAAAATTTTTTTTCTCCTTCCTTCTCTTTCTTTCATATGAGATTTTCATTTTAACCTTTCTGTGTGATGGTGGAGAAAGACTGGGAGAGGAGATCGGTTAGAAGGTATCGCACTAGTCCAGGTGAGCAGTGAGGGAGGCTTGCACTAGGGCAGTATTGGGGAATAAGGAAGATTCAAGTGAGATGTAAGAAGTGTTGTCACTCAACAGGACTTAGTGACTGGTTGGATGGCAGTAAGGGAGTGTGACTGTACGTTCCTGGCTGCGTGGTAGGGTAGACGGACGGTGGCATCCTTCATGGGGTGGGAAGTGCAGGAGAGTGAGCCCTCTGTGGAAGATGGGGGCTTTGCAGCCAGACCATGAGGGTTGGACGGGGCAGTCCTGGTTATCTTGTCAGAGACAAGGTGGTTCACAGACAGACCCAGAAGGTTTTTTGTCATTGTTTTTGTTTGTTTGTTTGTTTGTTTGTTTGGTGACTGGCCAGTACAGCGACCTAACACTGAACCTTGGTGTTATCAGTACCATGCTCCGACCAACTGAGCTACCTGGTCAGCCCCTCCCAGAAGATTTTTTCTTTTTTTCAAGATGACCAGTAAGGGGATCTTAACCCTTGACTTGGTACTGTCAGCACCACGCTCTCCCAAATGAGCTAACTGGCCTTCCCTATATAGGGATCTGAACCCGTGACCTTGGTGTTACCAGCACCACACTCTCCCGAGTGAGCCACGGGCCGGCCCTCCCAGATTTTTTGATGAGAAAATCTGGGTAAGACCAGCCCGCCATCCATTAGACTCTTCTGTGAATGGAGCAAGTCCTCTTTATCTGGCTTCCAAGTGATTACTACAAAAGCTCCTGAAGGAGGTGGTTCCATCTAGGGTGTAGGCCAGTTCCTGGGTACTCAGACGCGTGAGCTTTGATTGCTGCTTTTATCACAGGATGCTGCGATGATTACTCCAGGCATCTCTTATTCCTTTTCCTTGTTTATATCTTGTCTGCAGTTCCCTTTCTTCTTCTTCCATTTGCCCAGAGCGAGTTGCTCTGTGAATAGCTTCTTGTTACCTTCCTCTTGGTTGCATTTTTCCATGGAGAGGTTTTGCATTTGCTGAGCAGAAATGACACGAGCCAGCACTCACGTGTGTCACCTGTTACAGACTGGACTGTCTGTGCCAAAGGGAAATGGATGTTAATTTTTCACCTTAGATCCTTATCTCTTGCATAGAGTCAGACATGAGCAAATTCTCCAGGTGTTTTTAGCTCATCATTGCGTAGTGGCAAAGAAACGGGGACTGGCAGTGATACCTGGGACAAGGACACAGAGCTCTTTGAACTAGTTCCTTCCCTGATAAGTGGAAATAGCTGTACTTTTTCAGTCTACCTCACAGGTGCAAATGGAATTGCATATAAAGAACTTTGAAAACATTTTTCTTTTTTTAGAATTATCTTATTTATAGATGATAAAAGTAAGATACAGTGAAGTAAAAGACACCTGATCCCATTCCTCAACCAAATATGCTCAGGAACAAAAATTAGAAACTTAATGATATTATTATTTTATTGTCAGGTCAATAATTCCTTTCCTCCATTAGGCCAATTCCAGAAGTATTTTGGTATGGAAGGTAAATGGGAGTGGATATTTGTATAGAAAAAACAAGCTGTTTTTCTTTATACTCACACTCGACACAGAACACTTCTGTGACCAAATGTGTGTGGGTTTTTCTATCATCAACCAATCCTCCAATACCAGCCAGGCATCCTACCATTAGATGCCAGTCGCAAGTCTGGGTTGTCACCTGTGCTTCTAACCAACCAGGTGTAAGTTGGAGATTCCCTCCCTGCTTGAGTTTAGTCGTTTGCTAGAATGGCTCACATAACTCAGGGAAACACTTATGTTTGCCAGTTTATTATAAGGGATATTACAAAGGACACAGGTGAACAGTCAGGTGAAGAGGTACACAGGACTAGGTGTGTGGGGAAAGGTGTGGAGCTTCCCTGCCCCTCCAGGTGTGCCACCCTCCCAGCAAACACCTGTGTTCACCAACCTAGAAGTTCTCTGAGCCCCACCCTTTAGGGATTTTTATGGAGGCTTCTTCATGTAGATATAATCAATTAACTCTCTAATCCCTGTCCCCTTCCTAAAGGATGGGGGTTGGGCTGAAAGCTCCAAGCTTCTAATCATAGCGTGGTCTTTCTGGTGACTGGCCCCCATCCAGGAGCCCACCAAGATTTGCTTCATTAGAACAAAAGATGCTTCAGTAACTCAGGAAATTCCTAGAGATTTAGAAGCAGCTCTGTGTTAGGAGCTGGGGTCAAAGACCAAATATTAGAATAAAAAAGGCACCCCTGTTACTCAGGAAATTAAAAAGGTTTTAGGAGTACTGTGCCAGAAACTGGAGGCAGAGACCAAGGATATATTTTTACATCCTTGTGTCACAGTATTGGAACATCATGCCCTTTCCCTTGCTTTTCTAAACAGTTTTCCTAGCCTCTCTCATATCTCACTGCCAGAGTTTTCCTCTCTCAGGGTTGGGGCCATTACTCTGTGTACGCCAGCCTTTTGATTTTGTCTTGATTCAGGAATTAATGATGGTACCTCTGATAACCTAGGGAAGGTAGCTCTCTCATCTGGAAGCTGGTTTCTAATCAGCCCCTGTGTCGGGCTCTGCTGATCCACTCCCCGGGCTGCTGGCTCCGTTAGCACCAAGCCTTGTAGACACAGTGTGGGGGACACCAGAGCAAGTGGTAGGGAGGTCCCCTTTGGGCCCAAAGTGGGCAGTGTGACTAACAGCTCTCAAAGATGTAAATATTCCTAAATACAGCAGGGGATCTAGATCTAAGATCTAGTCTACCACTCCATCTTTTAACTTAAAATGCTAACTTAAAAATTTTACTGAGAGCCTACTATATGCAAAATGCAGTGCTAGACCCTAAGGATTAATAAAGGGAAGGAGGGAGGGAACAGAGAAGGTTGGAAGGAAGGATAGACCTAAATTCCTGTCACAGGAAGCGCAATCCAAAAGGAAGAGGGAGACATTACAATTATTATTATTATTATTATTGTTGTTGTTGTTCTTTTTTAGTGCTTGAAAAATATTCACCTATAGCATCTCCATTCTCCCTGTCTTTCTGAGCAGCCCTGTGAAAGCTGCTGTCTTAGTTCCTAAGTTTTCTAAATGACTGTTGGCCTATTGGCAGCATTCTTTACACTGGAGCTTAAGAATTGTGAGATGACCTGTTGTTTTCTCCCAAAGTCCTTGTCACTTTATGCATCCTTCCTCCTGATATTCAGCAGGAGACACTCTGCTCCATTGTGTCATCCTCATGGATAGTGTGGAAAATGGGAAGAAGCTGGGTTTAGTGTTTGTGACTCCTGGGGCTGAATTTTGGCTTCAGCATTTACTAGCAGAATGACCATGGCTGGGTTTCTTAACCTCTCGGAACACTGGTTTCTTTATCAGTAAAAAGGGGAGAGAGATTAATGCCTGTTACGTCTGGTTCTTATGAAAGTCCCAATAATAATGACAAGATTAGAGGACTACGAATTGCAGGCACTGTAATCTCTGCTGTGCCTTTGAGAGATCGTGCTGTCACCTGGTGAATGAAGTGGAAGTGTGTTGTGGGAGTGCAGCCTCCTTGAGGTGCCATCTGGAATGGGATGAGAGACAGGGTGAGCCCCCTTTAGGGTACCGCTGGTTTTTGTATGTCCTACAGTGCTTGTTATTGGATAAAGTAATGGGGCGCTAGGCCTTAATGGCTGTAGCTGGGCATGCCTAGTTCAGTATAGGGTACTGTTAGATGCTGGTGAGGTTTCCAGAACAGTGTTGGGGCTGAGGCTTCAGGTTGGTGGGAGTGGATCTGGAGGTGCTCTCAGATTTCTGGCTGAGTCCTCACTTTGGGTGCTATAGTCTGGTCCTTGCTAGGGAGTGTGGCCACATCCCAGCACAGCCCTCCTGGTTTATGCTGGAACCAATCTGCTAGAGAACAAGGCTTTAACCTTCAAATGTGAATTTGAGAGAATGTAATGCAAATGTGTTCAGCTACGTGTTCATGTTCTCAGGTACTATTAGGCTAGGATTCATACCTCTGAAACACAATGAAAAGACTAATCAAAGCTTGGGAAGAGGTATTTGTAACATTATGCCAACAGCTGGTGTCTGAAATATAAAACCAACCACTTCAGAAAAAAAAGAAAAAGACAACCCAAGAGAAAGAAAGTAACAGGCAAGTCAGAGGTGAGAGGTCCCAACAAGTTAATATACATATGGAAAGATGCTCAATCTCACTAGTAAGCAAAGCAGTACAAATTAAAACAACAGGAAACATGATTTCATATCCCTCAAATTGGCAAAAATGTAAAAGTCTGGTAAAACTAAGTGTTGACAAGGATGTGGGAAATGGAACATATATATATTTCTTGGAGGAGAGTAAAAGAGGGAGCAATTTGGCAGGATTTTGTTAAGTTGCAGATGCACCTACCCTAGGATCCAGCAATTCCATTTCTTGGTGTATACCTAAGGGACATTTTTACATATACAAGGAGAGATGCACAGAAATGTTCAAGGATGATTACTTCAGCACCGTTTGTAATAGGAGAAAATTGGAAACAATGCACATGACCATCAGTAGGGGAGCGGATGGGCTGGTATGATCATTTAATGGAATCTATGCAGGAGATAGATTGGATAACCTTCTTTGAAATGTACCTTAGGGGTAAGTCTCAAATGTAACTTGGAGTGAAAAAAAGTGAGTTTTAGATGATTATGTAGAATATGGTGTCTTTTATTTGAATAAAAACACAAATTAAATTGTATATTGTTATGATTACATAAGGAAGTATTGATTTATAAAAATATGCAAGGAAAGGATGCAGACCAGCTTCAGGATGACAGTACTAGGGGATGGAGGGAGGAAAAAAAGAATAGTGTGTAGGAGTTGCTTTAGCTTTAATTTGTTTCTTAAAATAAAGTGCTGAACTCAATGTGGCAAAATGTGAAGGCATGAAACCTGAGTAGTGGGAGCATAAGTGTCCATTATTTTTTATGATTGCAATAGTTCATGCATAAAATAAAACCTACATGTCTTTGCATTTCCCCACTCTGTCCCTGTGTCCACAGGAAGTGCTTTACCTGTGACTTAGCATGGCTGTTTCTTTTTGCAATGAAGCTTTGAAAAAGGGAGGAAGAAGCCTGTGGCCTGTGATGTCCCAGGCGCTGAGTGCCCTGTGCCGCTGGCCTCCCACAGCCATTTCAGGGTCTTCTTTCCTTCCCGTGGTCCTTGGGGGTCTGTGTGGGCCCCAGTGCTGACCACTCTTACCTCAGAAAATGACACCACAAGGTGTCAGCGCAACTTATAAGAGAAGTCGAAAACTCCCAGCTGAGTCTCTTGGTCCTTGTAAAAAGGTTCTTTTAAATAAGCGTTAACTTGAGTTTTGGCTTATGGTAGGCTCAAACCTTCTTATTTCTTGTCCCAGAGCTGCTAAATAAGTTAATTCTTAGCTAGAGTGGAATTTCTTTCATCTAGAAGTCATTTTGCTTTGTCTGGTGATGTGCAATGTGATCTGTCAGCAATGGGTGTGGTTGTTTTATCTGTTTCTGTTTGTTTTAGCTCACAGATGTGTACAGGACGTCGCCGTCTCTGAGTCGCTATTTTACTTCAGTTGAAATAGTGGACTTCAGGTAAGAGCGTGGAGCATTGCATTTTGGTCTCTTTCTCTGGAAAGACACCACCCTTCCCCTCCATCACCATTTACCCAGGAAGACTTCCCTGGTCCTGGGAGCGTGACAGGAACCAATACCAGACAGAATCACAGCATGTCAGTGATGGGAGGGTCTTTGGAGACCAACTTCTCAACTCCCTTATTTTATAAATGAGAAAAAGGAAGCCCAAAGAAGGAAGATTAATTATATAATTCAACCGAGGTGACACAGAGGAGGGGAAAAGCCAGTCCCAGGTAGACCATTCCTGTTTGAGTGGATGTTCAGATAAGCCAAGGGTAGAAATAGAAATATATGTCAGAAAATACTGTGATGTAACTGATGTAATCTGTATACTGGCATTTGCTTTTGAGAAGCACGAATAATACAGGAGTGCATTGTTCTTGTATAATACAAAAAATATAAAGATGTATACTACCAGAAAACTCTATCTTCTGCCTCCTCTCCTTTCCACTACCACCAATAAATAATTCCATTCCCTTCCACGAAATTAACAGTTGGGTGAGATTTCTTCTGTACATGTATTCACTATATATTCTAAATATATATATATAGTATATACACACACATTTGCATTTTTTCTTAAATTTCTTTTCAAAATTTCTCCCTAATCTTTAATATTCTTGGGATGTTAATATAAGGGTAATGTGTGTGAAGGAGTTATTTTATTATCCTTTTATTGGGTTTATTGGAGGTGATTTGAACAAGGTTTACATCAAAGCTCTATTATCCACTATTTCTAAGATGTCTCTGGGATGTGACTATCAAAACCAATATTATGTTGCGATTCCCCGTCAAACCATCAATTTTCCAAACCATCATATCAGCAGAGCTGGGGGAGGGGAAGCGTGTAAAGCAGGTGGTGGTGCCGTGGGGTAGAACCGAAAAGGACCTGCAGTCTGTGAACACATAAGGCGGCAGGCTGCTTTTCTCCTCCTTGCTTATAGGCCCCCAATATACTTGTTACCTTATAATGACATCTTTGACACTGCTCATTTTAATCATAGGCCACTGGTAGAAAAGGGAGAAATGCACCAGACCCAACACACTTTCGTCCTTGCCCTTTCCCAACTTGCAATTCAAAGATTGAGGCAGAATTGAGAGACAAAACCCTCAGAGCCTTCGGGGTCTTTCCAAGAATCTGACCCGATGTTATGGGTCTAGAGGAGCTGGGATTCTATAATGGGTAGGGGTAGATATTGGGAAAAACCCATCAGAAAACTGAGTGAAACATGGCTAGAAATCTGGCCAACACTGAATGTTAGAGCGTCTGTTTTTAAAAGTTATTTAAAAGAAAAATCCAGGGACTTTAGTGTTTTGAATAAAGAAATACTCTCTGGAAAACATTTTTGTTTTATTTACAGTTGGTTAGAGTGTGGTGCTGACTAAAAAAAAAAAAAAAAATAGCCCAGGTAGAGTTTCTAAAATGTTGACTTGAGAAACAAAAGCTGTTGATTTTTAAAGGATGCTGCCACCCAGGGGCAAGAATCAGCCAGATCCATGGTTTACATGCTTGTGTCTACAGGGGGACCCTGAGTCAGTCCTGGGCGGCTCCAACAAGAACTTGGAAAGATGCCCTTTGGTTTATGGGTTGTTGGACCGTCAGTGAAGGGTAGCTGGGGCAAAGCCCATAGGATTCACTGCTTCCCTGAAAATTCCTCTTCTCCCCTCAAAATTCAGCCTTATGTAAATTCACCTAGTGACCTGACATGGTAGGACTAGAGTGGGCCAGCCGGGCTGGGTAAGGCAGCCTGATTTTCTCATTCAGCTGCTGACCTGGTCTTCTGAGGGTCAGCCTCTGGCCCTCTCATTTACCAGCCCAAGTCCTTCCCCATGGAAACGAAGGGTGGCTGGCTGCCTTATTAGTGATAATTAGAGGGCAGAGCTCAGGGAACAGGTAATAACACCTGCAAACTAGGGTAGCTGAATTGGAGTTTGAAAGTGCATTGATCAGCCTGCCTATAGTGGCATCCTTGAAAATGAGTTTCTTCAGAGTCCCTAATCTGTGTTCATTTGATCCACAGGGTTTGACACATCCTTGGCCTTAGCAGTGTAAACTGAATTGTCAGCCACATTGTAAGGTGGAGATTATTGGCCCCCTATGTGACCTCTGGCCACGAGAGGGAGCTCTTTGCCTGTCCTTAGCTGGGACAGCAGCCTGATTCCTGCTAATGGGCACATCTGTAAAACTCGCCCTAGGTGATAGTCTCAGATGTGACCTCCTATTAATTATTTAATTGCTGGTTCTTAATCTGGGCCACATTGAACCAAAGTAATAAAATAACTATAAAAAACCTGAATGTTGAGGTAAGGTTTAAAGAGCAGCATAAGCTACTAAATAACTGAGGATAGCCCTATGATTATCTTTATTATTGGGAAATGGAAAAAGTATGTTCTAGGAAGATGAAAACTCCCTTTCCTTAGGTCCCATTACTGAAAGTGGCAAAGCTTGGTCCTCCTGCCTTAGGGGCTTCTGGAACTGGAAATGGGTAGAAAAGTTTCTCACTCTGGGGATAAACCCAGGAGGTATGACTCATTGCTGGTGCACAGGCAGTCTCTGTGGGAGTTCAGGAACGGTGGACCCAGCAAGGGGTAGGGAGCTTTGGAGCCTACCTTAAACATTTTTATAGGTTAAATAAAGAACTGATTAAACTGAATAGCTCTGGCATGTACTTGTAGGGGAAAGTTGAGAACATGGAGAAGGGACTATGTGAGGAGAAAAGGGCAGGCTTCCCTGGCTTGCCTTAGGGGAGAAAAGGCTGGTATTGGGAAGGCATGTGTCAACCCTGGGATCTTCCTTGACCATAGCTGTGTTGTGCCTCTCTCTTCTACAGCCTCTCCCAGTCGACTTCTGGGGGATGGGTCTAGGTGTAGGAGGAGGTTGGGATCACCTCAACTTTTTGTGATGGACTTATGGAAGAGGATTTTTCTAGGACGGTACATTCTTTAAGGACAGAACACCCTGGAAGAATATGCAGAACTAAAAAAAATGTTATTGCTAAAATTGACTTTCTGAGTTGCAGTGTGATTCTGTTTGTGTTTTAATGTCTGTGATTGGTTTGCCTTCCAGTGGTGAAAATGACACAGTGACCTATCACCTGCAATTTGGGGTTCCATCAGAAGGTGGAAATTTTATGAAGTATATGATGAGTGAGGAGTTGGTGCTGGGCATTTTACTACAGGATTTCCATGATCAGAACGTACCTGGTTGTGAGAGTCTGGGGCTCGATCCGGCGTCCTTCTTGCTCTCCAGTAAGTAAAGGAAGTAAAGAAGTCAGCGTCGTGATGATAAACAAGTGAACCAGACTGGGGACAGATGGTTTGGTTTGTTTTGGCAACTTTGGTGACTTGGCACTGTGGTAAATCATTCATTCATTCACTTAACCACTCAGCCCGTGTTGTTTTTGTGCGGGGATGTTCCACACTCTGTCCCTGCCCTCCTTAAGCAGACAGTGTTGTTGGGGAAAAAAAAGAACATAGAGAAAATAATTGTACTCTGAAGATGAAGGTGGCTGAATGTTTCCTTTTGCAGTTCACTCCCATCCTAAGCCCTGCTTTCCTCTTCACAACATCATTATCAGCCTTTATGGAAACACTGTGGTTCACAGAAAAGTAAATATAGTACTAAAGAGCTTAGCATACAGAGTATAGCTAAATTGGTGAAAGATTATCTCAGTATAGGGAACCTATTTCTTTTTCTGTTGAAAGCCACCGAGTCCATTTAGAAATTAGTAAAGAGGCATAAAAAGGCAAATTGATTTCTTTCCTTACAAAATTATAAGAAAATTACTCATCTGCTTTTAAAACTAACAACAGAACAAGGAAATTTATGATATTTAGTAAACATAGCAAACTCTCCACTTGTCAGATTCTGAGAATTTATAACACTTTTCTTGGCAAAAAGGAAGGTTGGAAAGCAAAATGGCTCCAAGCCTTGGAAATATCCTTCCATGGCTTCTGTGCAGAAGCTTTGGCCTTTCTTTCTGGTTTCATCTCATTTCATATTTCTGATACCTCACTTGGAGGTGTATTGGCTTTTGGTTAACCAATAATGCTAACAATCTTGGACATTTTATTTTCTCATCTGCAACCCATCAGAAACACTTTCTGCACATTAGTAGATACTCAAAAAATACTAGTTGAACAAAAAAAGCAAATGAGGCGATGTGGTTAGCAGCAGGTGCAGTAATAGTGGCCAAGGAGAAGGCAGATCAGAAAGATTATAAAGCACATGTGTTGCTATATTTTATGAGAAAAGTTGTTTATTGTGATGACATGAGACAAGAGTAGAGTAATCTTAGCCTAAGAAGGCAGAGAGTTATATAAAGCTCTTCTTAAAGTATTCTTTTCCCAAATTAATAGATAGAATGAGATCAATTTTAGCTCACCACAAAAGTCTTGTAAAGGTATAGTTTCCTCTCAGAGGATCCTGAATATATAAAGTGTGTCTATGAGCCAGGCAGACAACATACACATGTGGAGTGCAGAAGTTATGCCCCGTTTACAGAAATTTCAAAAAGAAAGAAAAAAAAAAAAAACCTTTCAACCCCCACCTGTGTTAGAGGCATGAGATCCCTGTTGGGGGCGCTGCTGTGGTGTCATCAGTCTTGATTTTCTTAGGGCCCTTTTATGAAATTGTGTTGCTAGCTCTTTCCAAATGGCGGCAAGGGAGGTGGGAAGCAGGTGAGAAAAGGTTTAAGAGGATCCTGAGGCTGAAAAGCCCATAAATAAAGGGTGGATCACTTGTGAGGCCTCAGGAGAGCTCTGAGAAGACCTGAGCTTGGCAATGGAGCCTCTAGGCCATTTCTCCAGGGCCAGACGCTACATAAATAAAGGGTGGATCACTTGTGAGGCCTCAGGAGAGCTCTGAGAAGACCTGAGCTTGGCGATGGAGCCTCTAGGCCATTTCTCCAGGGCCAGATGCTATGGGGACGTGGGGTGCAGCTGTGATCTCAGCAGGGCTCCTGTTCTGCAGATTGTACTCTCTCTCAGATGATTCTTCTGTGGGGGTTTTCTATGACCCCACGTCCCACTTTCCAGAGCATGAACATATAGTATTTGAGCCACTGTATATTTTCAAGACTGTAAGTTTCAGACCCTCTCAAATGGAAGGGTAGACAGTGACCAGTTAGGAAGTGAGGAGGGAAGAAGAGAGACCTATTGAAGGCAGCGGGGATGAGCTCAGAGGCAAACTGAAGAAAGGGAGGAATGTGTCAGGGAGTGGCGGAGGGAGAGATGGAGGCTGTGAGACCGGTGGGTTCTTAGGCCAACTTCCCACGTTCATATGAGCCGTGGGCTTGGCAGGGCTGTCCCCAGCCCCCTGTGGTTAGCGAGGCAACCAGTTTGCCACAGTGTTAACATTCTAATTCTTCAAAGAGCAGAAGTTCTTAAAACTATGTGGTTCATATGCCCCTTAGAGAGTTTGAAGACAGCCACGTACCTTCTCCCCAGAGAAAAAAATGTGCATGCCCCTCCCTACTACACAAAATTGTATAAGCAATTTTGGGGATACCAAAGATTCCCCTGAAGCCACTCTGTGGTCCATTTGGGGGTTCCTATGTATGTACTTTAGAGGCAGAACTATAAATTAGATTATAATTCGGATTCTGGAGGTGTTTTGTGTGTGTATGCTTTTCATTCTCTAATTGGGAAATTACAGTGACTATTTTGACCTGACTGCAGGCATATTTTGATGCCTTATAAAAATAAAAACTCCCCTTAATATGTAATTATACTGATAGTCAACTCCGTACTCCATAAATATGTATAAATAAAAATAATTAAAATAAATAATTGTAAAGGAATTTTAAAAATTCTTCACCCCTCAGGGCTCCCCTGTCTTTGAGCTCCTTCACCTCGGGCGTGGGTGGGGCCCAGGGACAAGGTGGGGAAGTCTGTTTTACAAAGGTCAGAGTGTGTCAGCAGCCTGAGTTATTTTTATTATTATTATTTTTTATTTATCATTATACAGCATATTGATTTTCATGGCCCTTTCACAAATTGTTACTTAGTACTGTTTTTTCACATAGGATGGAGTCAACTAGTAGACTGAGTAGGGAAAAAGGACAAAAACAGAATTTTTGTGAGAAAGAAAAGGGAAAAGCTCCAGGCAGTGAGAGCAGTGAATCTTGTTGGCACATTTTCAGGATGAACTAGTGCATGGCTGTTGGCAGAGGCCAGCTTCTGTGTCCTGAAAAGCCTTCCCGTGGCATCAAGGAAAACCATTTTGGATGTTCATGGATTCTACAGGAAAAGTGGAGAGTTCAGCTGTAGTGCTCATTCTCAACTGGGGGCAGTGAAAAGTGGAGAGTTCAGCTGTAGTGCTCATTCTCAACTTGCCCCCAGGGGTATTTGGCAGTGTCTGGAGACATTTTTAATTGTCTCAACTGGATGTGTATGTGAGATTCTAGCACCTAGTAAGTATAAGCCAGGGACTCCTCTGAACATCCTACGATGTGCACAGGACAGCCCTCTACAACTAAGACGTATTATCCAGCCCGAAACGTCAATCGTGCCGTCAGACACGCCAAGAGTGCGAACCTGCTGGAGAGACCCGGGCTGTGTCTGCGTGCTGTCTGCTAGGGCCCAGCATCAGCACCTCCTCCTGAGCAAGGCCAGCCAGTGCCACCCCATTGCCCTCGCAGAGTTTCTCACAGAATGGTG